CTGGTGACTAGGAGTTCAAATATATAAGCCTACTGGAGGCATTTTTATTCAAACCACCACTTTCTCTTAAACACTGAGCCATCTCTCCAACCCCCTTCCATAGATTCTGTGTGTGTGTGTGTGTGTGTGTGTGTGTGTGTGTGTGTGTGTGTGTGTGTGTTGTTGTTGTTGTTTGTTTGTTTATTTTAGAAAGGTTCTTTCTGTGTAGCTCTGGCTATCTGGGAACTCACTATGCAAACCAAGCAGGCCTAAACTCACTTTTGACCACACCCACTCACTCCTCCTTACCCCACTACACTCCCAACCCATGTGGAGGGATTATGACTGTACCACCTTATGACTTGTTTTGCCTTGTTCTGTTGATATCCCTGGGAGACCTGCTCTTTTCTGAAGGGAAACAGAGGAGGAGTGGATCTGGGGGAGAGGAGGGATAGGAAGGGAAGTGGGAGAAGTGGAGGGAGGGGAAAACTGCAGCTGGGATATAATTCATGAGAGAAGAATACATTTTTTAAAAGTCCTGCCTAGTTATGATTATTTTTTTTTCATAATATTTTTGTGATTATTTGGGGATTTCACATCATGAACTGTGAGTACACTCACTTACCAGTCCTCCCAGGTCCATCCCTCCACCCTTGGGATACCCACCCCCCAAAATAAAAGGGAAGAAGAGGAGGAGGAGGAAGAAAGAAGAAAACAAGTCCAATTTGTGTTGCCCATATACTCACTGGAACATGGTCAAAAAACTCCCCGTGGCCAGCCCCTTAAAGAAGCTTGAGTCCTTCTCCACCACACCCACACCAGAATCCATCAGATTCTTAGTCATTAGACTCTGTGTCTGGCAAGGCACACACTCAGGGCATGTTTGAATCTGGCACAGTCTGCTGTGTGGTTTTCAGTTGTCACTCTACATTCTTATTATCCAACAACTGGCTCCACCAGCAACCCATTCATTGTTTCTCAGCAGTGTATTGTTTAAATTATCTCCTTTGTTTCTATTCTCATTCAGTGTTCACACTATCACACAGTACCTTTTGTCATTATTATACAACAAAAAGGTAGATGAGAACTTTAGATTAATTCATAAATGAGCCATACCCAGGGAGAGGGGTGTCTGATTGGTCCAAACAACAAAACCTTTCTGTGTGCTGATACAAGTCAAAATTGCCCTCAACTTAGAGTTAAGTGGAAGTAAGTGGTGACAGGCAAGGTTCTCCTAGAAAAGGGGAGCATTAAGGAGAAACCAGGGTTCTCTGGCATTCCTGGCCAGTAGATAGGACAGAACAAAGGACATTTCCAACTACTGGCCAAGGAGAAGAGTTAGAACTGTTCACTTTCAGAGCCTCAGTTTCAGAATCTCTCTCGTCCATTTTTGTCTCCTGTTAGAAAGGGCACAGATTAGTCATCAAAAGACACACTTTTTCAGGGTTAACCTATTGCTAGTCAGAAGCCTCTGGTGAAACCCTGACATCTTTGAATCTTAGTTTTCTATACTTTAACATTTTAAATGCCTTTGTTTTAGGATTTTTCAATTAAAAAAAATTGAGTCAGAAATGTTTTTAGTTAATAAAATGGTAGTCCAGATATGGTTTGGATAATAATTTGTGGTATTTTTTTTTTTATCTAGTTCCTTTAAAATCTTGCTTTCAGCTTCTAGCTTGTGAGATCATAACTCAAATTCAATAAAGAGGTCTTTAGACTGCAGGGCTACCCTTACTTCTGAAACAGCAAAGCCTTGTGGGCAAGTCAGACTTAGCTTTCTTAGGAGTCCAATGCATTTGCATTATGGAAACTTTCTAAAATTTGCCTCTAAACTAAGTTTTTTCCATAGCAAGATTATTATATCTAAAATATGAAGCATAATTTTTAAAACTTTTTAAGTTGGCCTCAAGAAAAATGATTATAGATTTGTTTTTCTTTTTCAGCTAAAAAGTGTTTATAAACAAAACCTTTTTCACTTTGTCTTTTGAGTTCTGGCTCTCTGTTCTGCTCTGTTGCTAAGGGCTCTGTGTTTAGGTGATTGCTTTTCCTCTTGAGAAGTTTACCTTGTCCTGAATGTTGGCTGTTTCCATTGGTTGGATGAGCCTGCTTGATTTACTTGTGAGCTTCATGTACTTTTGTTGTCTTTATGTGACCTATATTTCTGAATCAGGACTGTAGTTCTCTAAATAAGATTTGCAAAACTTGTTGGTCCCAGAATCCTTTCATAGAATCTGCCCAGTCCAACTGTATTCTTAGTGGGAAATGAATGCTGTTTGCTCTCTTTTGCCTCCTGCTGCTCATAGTGACAGCAGAAACAGTGCAAGCCACTGGTCTGTAAAGTAGCAGCAGTAGTTATCGGAAGGTGCTTGCAAAGGGCAAGAGCCAATTTTGTAGCAGGCTTTCTTGGACCACCAGCCCCCAAATCATGACACCGAGACCTATTATTAGTTATGAATGCTCAGCCTTAGTTTAGGCTTGCCCCACTAACTCTTAGAACTTATTTTAATCTGTTTCTCTTCATCTATGTTTTGCCTCAGGGCTTTTTGCCTTTCTTTCATTCTGTATGCCCTACTTCCCTGCTTCCTCTGTGTCTGCCTGACCCCAGGAGTCTCCCTCTCTTTCTCCCTTGTTCTCTCTCTCCAATCTAGAGTCCTCCTCTGCCTGGCTATTGGTTGTTCAGCTTTTTATTAGACCAATAAGGTGCCTTGGGAAGGCAATGTAAAACAAATGCAACACATCTTTACATAGTTAAAGTAATATTTCACAACATAAACAAATGTAACACACCTTTACATAGTTGAATATTTCACAACATAAACAAATGTAACACACCTTGACATAAAGTAATACTCCACAACAAATTTTGCTTTAAAATATCTATGATTGAAGCAGTAAAAATTATTAAGTTTCTTGCTGTTCATCTAGAAAAGGAGAGAGAGTCTTCCACGATGAAGGAATCAATCCTACCACGTTCTAGAGTAAGCCAGTTCCTCAAAGGAAAGCACTGTGCAACTGAATAAGGAGCATGAGAGGTGCCTTCTTCCCTTTGCTTTAAAAAGTGCTGTTTCATGTGAACAAATGACAGAAAACCCACACCACTCATGGTTAGGCACTCAGCAGAGATTTTCCAGAAATTACTTGAAATCACTGTTGCATAGTCTATAAGCTTGTAAGCAAAAGTCAGATTCGGAGGAAATTATATCTACTACTATAAGCATGGCAGCATCCTAATACAGATCTGCATTATTTGGTGAGTTCTGTGGTGATATTATTGATTTGAGTTTTATAAATTATGATGCAGAAATTATGCCTAAAAATTATTTTTCTAAGTAATCAATTTATGATATTATAAATTCATCCAAAGTACAAGGTAGAACATTGGCTTTTAATATAATAGAATATCAAAGTTTATTGACATTTTAAAATCACTTACATATAATCAAAAAATTACTAGTAAGTTATAGTTATCAATAGTTACATTATTGGAGAAGACTATTACAGTAATCCTGTCTTGCAGAGTGTGATAGAGATGGAAGCCTGTTATCCCAGGATGCAGGAAGACACAAGTAGGAGGATTGCTCAAAGTTGGAGGCCAACCTCAACTACATAGCAAATTTCAGGGCCACATAGTAAGACCCATCTGAAAACCACCAAAAATCAAACAAACAAGTCAAGATCCCTTTTTTTCTAAGTCAATTTTTGAGAACATATTTTCTTTTTTTTTTTCTTTTTTTTTTTTTTTTTTTTAACCAGGCAAAGAATTTTATTAACCCTTTTCCAAACTTTATTCCCAGGCTTCTTCAGCTTAATTTGCTGCAAAGAATGAATTATGTTTAAGCAAAAACTGAAAGAGCTGCAGTGTCCAAGGGGCTCAGGCTTAAAAATATTAGCGATCTAGATTGTATCAGATCCATAAACAAAAGAATTTTAAAAAGCAGTCATGATATAAAATAGCAGCTCCTGTAACTTCTGCAGGTGTCACCTTCTTCAGAAGTCGCCTCAGTTTAGTTTGCCTCGTTCTTAGACGCCTCATCAAAATTCTCCACCAGATCTGGGACTTCATCATCATCATCCTCTCCAGTAGCAAGTGGTGCTTTTCCATCCACAGATTGTTTGGGCAGAGCTTCAGCCAGTCTCCTTAAACTAGTCAGACTGTCCGCCCGGAGCTGGTTTAGGATGCTGGGAAGCATTTCTGTCAGCTGCTTTGTCTCAGCGTGGCCTGTAATGGTGAAGGTGTTTGCTGCCAGAGACGACTGAACTTTAGGGTTGTTAAAATGGATCACTGTTCCTTGGTTTGTAAACATGTTCACCTCTTCAATACCAGAGATATTGTTCACTCCTAACTTCTTTAAGGAGAACTACAGTTTTTTATCATCTGCTGTGGCTATTCTGTGAACCACCTTCTTCCTTCTGCGAGCAGTGCCTTTTCCACCAATGCGCACTTGTGCCTGAAGTTTGGCCAGTTTCTCCTGGTTCATGATCGTTTCTTTCATCTTGTCGGAGTGGAAATGGGTCCGCGCGGGGGACTAGGGTTCGTGCTCAGGGGGTCTCGGGCAGACCAACTGCGAGAACATATTTTCTTAATGGCCCTCAAAATAAGTCAAGAATTTAAGATATTTGTAAATATGTAAAACATCGCCATGGTTTTTTAATCTTAACATATAGATTATTATGGAAAAGTATGATAATATATGATGAGCTTATTAATATTACAGTGAATAAATATTTTGAATGTGTCTTAATATGAAATTTATAAAAGCCACACTTTACCATGCTATTTTAGCAAATACATTTGTATTGAGCACGCACTCTCCAGAGACCAGGCAGTGAATATGTGGTGTCTGTGGTCTCACCGCTCATTAGCAGTTCTGTTTGAGAGAGAAAACAATGGGGGGTGGGGGTGGGAACAAGCTCAATTACAAAATTGCAAAGCCATACAGCCAATAAATACTGTTTCTGCAAACTGTAAAGTTGTAAGGTTTTGATTTCAATATCTTAAATATTCAAATCTTGTTTTTCAGAGAATACTGCAATGACCTTAAACTCTCGGATAATAATACTGAATTTCTTTTAAATTTTAATGAATTTATTGATAGAAAAACTCCAAATAACCCTTCCTGTAAGTATTTATGAACTTGTAGTACCTGCCTCAGTGCTTGTGTCTAAAGTGGTCAGCATGGTTTATATGATCAAATCTCAGGATGATCTTATCAGCTTATTGGTGGGCTTTACTACATGAATGTTAATGGTAATATGCAGCAATTTGGTCCTTAACGTTTTATAGTATAGCAATGTCACTTTGTTATTAAGTGAAATCAGGTTCTCAAAGCAAGGTAGTCAGTACTTGAAAGCAGTTAAGTGGTGTATGCTCACCCTAGTTCTTCTCAAATTTTAAAATTTGGTTTGCATCATCTATTGGAGATTTTCATTACAATGCACTTGCTATATAGAGAAAAAACATAGTGCATGTTCTTTGAATATGTCATGTCTTCAAATTTATTTTTCTTATGAATAGAGTATAAAGAATAATCACTTAATAGTTTTCTTTCCTTATGACTTAGTTTGATCACAAGCAACTTTGTCTAAAAAATATAGTTCTGTAGTTGCATACCTTATAAGACAAATGTGGTAGAGATGGAGACAGCTTTAATAATTAATTTTAACTATCATAGTTGTCTCTCTGATAAATCTACATCATTAATTCCTTAAGATTTGGTTCAGATACAAAGGTTCTAGACTTTTAAATATTTAATAATCAAAAAGTTTTCATCCTAAAAATGACTTGTAAGAATTCCACCAGGAACAACTCAAGTGGGAAGTAAGGGAGGGAAGCAAATACACATGAAATTTATCCCAATAAATAGAATTTGGAAAAAGAACATAGATGAAACATTCACTTCCTCCTTGTATTTTTCTTTTCTTTTTCCCTTTTAAAAGGCAATTATTTCTATTATGAAAGGCTAAACAAAGCATTTCTATTAGTTATCAAGAGTCAGAAAGCATCCTTCTCAAACTTGCCTCTCCCTCTCGAACTGTTATGTTGAAAACCCAACTGAGTTGTTCTGTCTCCCCTCCCCCACCCACCCCGCCTCTTACATCAATCAGATATTAGCGAAGACTGTACATTCCTCATCGGAGTCAGATGAGGTTTTATCATGAGTGTGAAAAGAAAGTACCTGTAGGTTTTCTCAAGGATTCATGTCCTGAGAGCAGACAAGCCACAGGAGGCAAAGTGAATAAGATATGCTCTTTGATCTTGGGTTCTCATTTTTTATTCTTTTTTTTGCCTCTGAACTTGGACAAGCATGCTCCTTAGTTATTACAGAAATGACAGCCGAAAGCCTGTGCTCTTGAACTGATATTACTACATTCAAAAATACAATTTTGGAATAGTGCTAGTATAGGATAACTCTATTCCTTTCCCCTACTCCAAAACAAACACAAAAATGGACATTCATAGGAGTTTTCAAGAAGTCAAATATATTGTCTGATATTACGTTCAACTGTGGAATGTTGTAGAATTAAAGTATCTTTTCCTTATTTAAAAAAGGTGAAAGTAGACAGTGACATATTTGTTTCATATTTTTACTTGGTAATTTCAGTTAATAATCCTATCTACATATGAGCATGTATATTGCATATATATATGTATATATATATATATATATATGTTATTATGGTGTGGAACCACCATATTAAGCTACATAACCAAACAAAACATAGAAAAAAGAATATTTTTTCAATGTTTCCAAAAATGTCATAATGCAGATGTCTTTTTTAATTTTCATCTATCCGTTTATTTTCGTTTAAGTTTTTTCTTGAGAGCTGCATACAAGAGTGCTATATTCAAATCCTTTCCAACCCTGCCTTTCTGCCTTCCAATGCCTCCCACCCCAACTCCCTCTCAAGTCATGACCTTTTCCTTTTCAATTACTAGTGTCATATATGTATGAATATAGATACATGTTACGTATATATTCATATGTATATACATGAGTATACATATATACATATTTGTATATATAAATACTTAAGATAGGTATTTTAAATGTGCAAATCTGTACATATATGTACATATATAAGCAAATACAAATCCCACATACAACCTCTGTGTCCATTTAGTGTTGCTCATATGTATATGTGTTTAGGGATGATCACTAGGAATTGGATAGCCTATCAGGGACCTTGTCCCTGGAGAAGTCTGATTCTCCATCTCTCAGCAGTCATCAGCTGTCTAGAGTTCTTCATCATCACTGGGGCCTCGTAAAATTCCCCCATCCATGTTGGCACATCAACTGTTAATGTCTTTGTACGATTCTTGGCCAGGCAACGTTATGTTTAGCTTTTATAGGTGCAGCTTCCTTGGCATGTCTAGGAGTCAGATGTCTTTCCATAAAGCATTTTCTCTTATTAGTAATTGACTTTTGTAATACTAATTCATTCATGTCCCCAATATATAAGATAAGATTAATGATAAAGAAAATACACAATTTATATGGAATACTCCTGCATATCTACTCAACTGGTTTTGAAAACAGTAAATATATTTTTTATTATTATTTGAATTTAAAAAATCTATGTGAGTTTAATTAAAGATATCATTTTTCTGTGTTAGGTAATACAGATTTGATTAATAGAATCTTGTTGGATGCTGGTTTTACAAATGAACTTGTCCAAAATTACTGGAGTAAGCAGAAAAATATGTAAGTATTTGTTCTTGTTAATATATATATATATATATATATATATATATATATATATATATATATTGCATTTCAGTTTCACATCTCCCTGGGAAATGTTTAGATAATGGGCCTCATAAATTCAGTTAGTTATTTAACTTTAGAAATGATTTCTCAGGAAATCATTTTATAATTGTCGATAATTTGCATTTTCAGTTGTGAGCATAATTCAGTGGTTATATTGGCCATGTGTGAGCATTATATGTTAATATGTCTAAAACATATTTAATCAACAAGTTTGTGTATTGTGTTTGTGGTAAAGTAGGTTTTCTAGTGAATGTTTAATTGCCTTTCTACTGGCACGTGCTGCTCTCTTATATAATCTTATAATCTCTCAATGATAGAGAGTTTGCAGGGTGGTTCTCATTCACAATCTCTCCTCCATGCGTTTCCGGTCAGCCACTCAACTAGATACTTCTTCTGAGCGTGTTTACCTCTCTTCTTCATAATCGAGGTCCTAAAATAGCATTTTTCAGCCGCGTTTTGTGCCTTTGGCGCTTTCCTTCCTGGTCCCAGTTCCAAGGCTCTTGCCTCTACATAGCATTCCTGCCCCAGTCCTCCTTCTAAAGTGCTTTAATGTAAAGAAAAAGATGGAGCTTGAAGACGGGTATGCTGGCCCATGACTATAATCTCAGCATCTAGGAATAGAGGCAGGGGCAGCACAGGCATAAGGTCATCCTTGGCATAGATCAAATTCCACCTCAGGAGGTGGGGAGGGGCAGCTCTTAAGCACGAATTTCAAAACCACCCACAAGAGGTCCCTTTAAGAACCTCATGCTGGAGAGTGAACTGCCTATGACTTCCCTCTCTTTGTCTTATTCCTCCTCACAAACTCCAGGGCCTAGACTAGCTTTCCCTTTTCTCTCTCTGTGGCTGTCCTCTGTATCCCTGCTCATCATTGTCAGATGACAGCTCCACCCTTCTTTCTTCTAAGATGACTCTGAAGTATACCGACAGTGAGCGCTTCATTTCCTAGATTCTTCACCTACCATTTGTGTGTGTTGATGTGTAACTTGGTTGCCTTGATTTCTTTTCTATCACGAACACCTAGCTCGGCATCTTAAAGCTTACTTTTTCTAACATCCTTTTACCTTCTATTTTAGCAAAGGAGTGAAAGCACGCTTTGTGGTGACGGATGGTGGGATTACAAGAGTTTATCCCAAAGAGTAAGTTCAAGTAACATCTGTAAAAATAAGTTCGTTGCAACAGCCTGTGCCAAGGGCCTGGATGTTGCCATGTAAGGAAGCTATTCTTTGGGAAAACTGATCATTGTTAGTAGATTAAATTGCAGTATTGTTTAAAGTGTTTATATTAATAAAGTATTCAATTTCCCTGGGCAGTATTATTATAAGATGTTTCAATGGCAGTTGCTAGTCATATTTGTATATATAAATTCATTACAAAGTTTAAGAGAGGTTGAAAGAGATATTGCTCTTTGTAGAAAGAGTTCAACTGGGCTGTCTGAGCATAATGAGCATAATGAGGACTTAGAGCAGCGTTAGTGTAGCACATCCTTGCTTGCATTGCTCTTTCATGACTCATATCTCTCATTATCTTAAGAACAGTTCCTGCAGTGGGCTGAATAGGTACCAAGGCTTATTAATATTAGTTAACTGATTTATCCATAGTTTCTCAACTGAGAGTCAGCTTTTCTTATTCTTAGTATGCTGATGCATTGCTTAGTAATAAGTACCAGTTACATATCCATACCTGACCCTTAGGCATAGCTGAATAGTAGATATATCTGTAGAGCTGTATTTCCACAAAAGGAATTCAGGTTATCATGTACCTTAAGGAATATAAATGATGAGAACCATTTCCTCCCTAGGGCTGGAGAAAATTGGCAAGAAAACCCAGAGACATATGAGGACAGCTTCTACAAGCGGAGCCTCGATAATGATAACTATGTTTTCACTGCGCCCTACTTTAACAGTGAGTATTCTTTGGAATTTGATGTCTCAGTTCCTTTTAAATCTTAAACAACTGTTATACCTGGTGCCTCTCCCTTCAAATCAATATATTTTGTTAATTGCCTAGAATGGTCATTATTGAGTATATAGTATGTACAGGAGATTGGGAAAACAGAAAAGAAACATGCATTTAGTTGAAGAAGTAGAATGCATACACAGCAAGAAGTCCTCCAGCAATGCAGAGCTGGCATCTTCTGAAGGCATGCGCACTAAGTAGAAACATATGGGGCTAATCCCATGTATTTCAACTACTTCATTCAAATGTGGCTGATGAATGAAATAAGTTGGTGTATCATAATGAATTGTATCTTATCTGTGTTAATTGTATAATTTGCTATCTATAAAAAATTGTCCACCTTTTAATATAATTTATATGATTCTTTGCTCCTCCCCCAAGAAAACTATTTTTGTCCAACCATTCACTATCTATGTACATAGATACTTTATTACTCTCATTTTAAAAATGAGGAAACTGAAATCCATAAGGTTTCAGAGTTTTTTTTAAAAAAAGACAAAGCCTGTTTTGTGACTCCAAGATCTTGCTTTCCAATTCCCTCCAACATTTTGAAATATTCCACAACTGTGATTGGGCATGTATCCATCATATTATGGAAGTGGATGAAATGAAGTTGAGTAATTCCTGTCAGTAAATAAATACATAAAAACCAACTCATGATCAGTCAGATTTCTTTGGTATATTCCAAAAGAAAAGAGAAAGCTGAAACCTCTTACTAAGCAGAATGCACCATTCAAAGGCTCAGAATGATGGTTCATCTAGATTAGTCTGTTTGCTTTTCTTTTAGAAAGTGGCCCCGGTGCATATGAATCTGGCATCATGGTAAGCAAAGCTGTAGAGCTGTATATCCAAGGAAAACTTCTTAAGCCTGCTGGTAAGCATACATCATGGGTACATATGACCAAGGTTAAATAAGACATTACATTTCCTCATAACCTGGAAACATTTATTCAGAAGATCAAAATTTTATATCTGAGATAGATCAACAATGTTACTCTGTCAGTATATCCTAGTCTCAAATACATGGAAGATTTGTGTCAAGGCTGTACATACTTATAATCATTTAAACATGAATTTACATTTACATACCTGTATACTAGACTACTATGTAGCTGCTGAAAACAATTAGGGCTGGATCTGTCTAAAATTGTTCAACTATTTGGAAAACAAATTAAATCAACTGGGCAACCAAAACAGAACAGTACAAATGAGAACTAGAAGTGGGCTGAGTGAGTGAATACAGTAAAACAAAATCCAGCACAGTGGCGTTTTTCATTATATGACTCAGTATTGTTTGCAGTTATATTTAGAGAGCAGATGTAAAAGGGGAGAAGCAGTGTTTCGGCTCCTGGGGACAATGTTACCTATCTGTGGTTCAACTACTAGGAGTCACTCCATTATTTCCTGGCTCCTTTGCCTTTCACTCAGTTGCTAATTGACTTACCACTTATCACTTATTCTCTCAGCTTCTTCTCACTGTTCCCCACCTCTCCCAATATCTCATAAACTCACCTGCCTGCTCTTTCAACAAATGTCTCTTAGGAATCTGATGCTTGAACTAGCAGGGTTAGAGAAACGTTTTATATGTACTGCTCAATTGATACCATGTTTTTGGGATCAACACTCACATTTTCTAAGTAATACTGTTAATTAATTGGACAGCCAGGTGGTGGCTATTTTTAAAAAATTCCTTGAAATGTAAAATACAGTTTATGAGCTAGTTTAAGATTACAAGCACTATTTCTTAATGACTCCAAAAACTGTACCTCTGTTAAAAAAAAAACCTTATATTTATTATCAAATTTATTAGCTAGTTTATAAATTGTCTAAGTTGTTACATTGTAAAGATAATATTATAGAAATCATGACTTCAAATTAATTTACATTATATTTTTCAGTTGTGGGAATTAAAATTGACATAAATTCCTGGATAGAAAATTTTACCAAAACTTCAATCAGGGATCCGGTAAGATTTTTTTCAAAGTTATTAAACTATGATGATTAATATTTTCAAAGTCCACATAAGTAAAAATGATCCTTATGCAGTGGCAAAATAAATTTCTAATATACTTCTAATACTTAAATAGAAATGGGCATTCCAGTTTTCAACATTTGTGTTCCCTAGGCAATGAAATGAAAACAGTTTCGACTGACAACTTGAAATGTTCATACAGATACATATTGATTGATATTTTCTTTTTTTAAAGAGGAAACTAGTATCTTTTTCCTTATAAACTATAATTAGTTACTCTTATTTAGACCTGATAAAAATATTCCAGGCTGTCTTATTATAAAAAGTAGTTATTAAATTCAACTGATTTAAAACTGTGAAATGGTGATTAATTCTTTTTTTTTTTTATTTTAGTGTGCTGGTCCAGTTTGTGACTGCAAAAGAAACAGTGATGTAAGAAAACTCTTTAAAATAAATTCGACTGGAGTGTTTTTGTTTCTCTTGCTTACTGAGTAATAATCATGTTGATGATTCAAAAGATCCAGGGTTTTTGATCTAATGCTAACACATTCTGTAGAAAACTGATAATACATGTACTGTAAATTCTTCAGAAAACATTTATATCTTAAGGAAGGAGAAGAGTCATGTCCAAGTGGATCATATTCTGTTTAATATTGGTGAAGATAGAGTCTTTTGAATATCTTCAACTTTATTTATTTTTCAAGAAGTTTCTAAGCACAGTATTGGTTTCAAATGCAGTCTGTCTCAACCTTTGTCCTTTCTGTGAATTTTCACAATACTGAAGGGGACAGGGGATGTGAACTAAATGCTGATGGTAGACTTGGAAGGGTTAGGTCATACCTTGTGTCATCTCTCTTTGCAAAGCTGAGAAAGAAACCATGAGCCAACTTTGGGAAGGACCTGAAGGTGCTCTAAGTAGGGTGCTAAAAAACAGGAGCTGAAGAGGAAGATATGTGACTACCTACTCCGTTTGTGTCCGGAACTGCCACAGGAAAAGGAGATTTCTGGCTTTCTGATGACTCCTACTTCTGTGAAATTCTAAGCCAAACCTTTTATTCTTTTAGAGTTTATTGACTTTCCCATAGACCCTGTTAAATAGTTGCTTTAGAGAAAATGTTTCAGCAAACTGTTTGGATGCAGGAACATAGCACATTGTGTTTACAACTTTGAAAATGATATTTTTATCATGATTTTGTTCAACATAAGCTATTAAATTTTCACACACTTAAACCAGGTGGAAATTTCTTTTCTCATCCATGAGCACATTCTCTTTTGCCTTCTTGTATAAATCTCCCATTTATCCAACTAAATATTTTTAACAAGGTAATGTAAAAAAATAGTTTCTCATATTCACTCCTTGATTTTTCACTGCTCTATGAAATATAGTAAATAAAAATATAAATAGCTTCTTGTTAATATTAGGTTTAAAATAACAATTTTTTGTGGTATTAAATATGCTGGTCTATCCAGCATCGTGGATTCTTAGATGACCTTGCAGTTTTAGGCTTGGCGGAATCTCTTTTCAGATTTGTCCAGACAGTTAACACTGGTAGGTAGAAAGCTGGTAATAGATTATTAAACCTGGAGGCTTGACATGAACTTGTGCATACATGTATAAGATTAGAGTCTCCAGAGTTCACTTTATCAGGAGAAGATGTAGTTATTGAAATGTCCCTATTGCTGTTGCTCAGCTTATCTGTATACTCTGGAGCAATGATGGAGCAGCATGCTAGCCTTCACATTCGCACTTACCTGTTGCTTTCTGCTCCTAGGTAATGGATTGTGTGATTCTAGATGACGGCGGCTTTCTTCTGATGGCCAACCATGATGATTATACTAATCAGGTATGGACCTGGAGTAAGGAAGAAGAAGTTCAGTTTCCAATGTGCTTTCTAGGATTAAAATCAGTAAACCCCTTTAGGTTTTTAGAAATTGATGAGTTGTTCAATTTTTGTCACAAAAGAAATCTTCAAGAGTAATAGAATGTAAACCAATGCATTCTAAATAGTAAATCTAGCTCTCCTTTTGTAATTGATTTTACTTTTAGATAACAGTCGTCACCATTAATGCACATAGTTGGAGATTTTAAAATAATATGAACTTGCCTTCAATCTTTCAACAACTCAGAAAATTGCTACATCTTAAGTACAATCAGTTGGTAATATCTAAGTCATCATATGGACAGATGCAATTTCTAGACCAAAATTTGCAAACTGACCATAAGAGACTATTAATTCTGGATCTATATTTCTAGGTTTTCTGTTTAAAATATACCAAGAGCTCCCAACACTAGCCTTTCTTCTGACTAACCATAACTTATCTGCTAAAGCTAGGAGTATGTGACTGCCCTTCTTCTGAGGCTCACAGTTCATGACAGCCTGCTGGGTAGGTTTTTAGTCCTACCCTCCTCATTTACAATACTTTTCCCTTCTCCAGAAGATATTTGGTTTTTTAGTGCTGTTTATCATGGAAAGCATGTAGGTGTAAGATGTTTTTATATGTGGTTATTACTATAAGTCAAGCTAGCTAAAGTATCTATCATCTCAATTGCTTTCTCTTCTGTGGGAAGAGAACCAAAAATTACCCTTTGGTGATTTCTGGTATACAATTAAACATTATTATCTATGCTCCTCTATTGGAATCTTAACCCAAAGGACTGCAACTCTGTTTCGTCTTCTCCTGCTTCTAACCCCATTCTTCTCACCAGGGGACATCTAATTGTGACCTTATTGTGCTTAGAAGTGGGCTGGGTGTTCATTCCTCCCACAAATATAAAACCACAGAGAGCCCCTGAATAATGAGAGTGCCTAATTTCATTTTGATTTCTCCACATTGCCAGAGGCAGTTTCTCATCTACTCAATTTTACAAACTGGTTTTTTAGTTCAGTTTCCCAGATAGTACTTTTTTTAACTGTATTGATTCAGATGATGATGTTGTTTTAAATTTGAAACTACTGAATATCTCTTTTCTTTTCCAGATTGGACGATTTTTTGGAGAGATTGATCCAAGCTTGATGAGACACCTGGTTAATATATCACTTTATGCATTCAATAAATCATATGACTATCAGTCAGTGTGTGATCCAGGGGCTGCTCCGAAGCAAGGGGCAGGACATCGTTCAGCATACGTGGTCAGTAAAGCCTGTGCTTGAGCTGCTTCCTCTCAGGGGGCACCTTTGCCAGTGTAGACCGATGTAATGAATTCTTGATATATATTTTATATTTTACAGCCATCAATTGCAGATATACTGCAGATTGGCTGGTGGGCCACAGCTGCTGCTTGGTAAGTCAAGTGTTTTGTTTTATTCTAAATGAAAGAAAAATGTCATTAAAGTATGGATTTTGTGTATTATGGGTATTATTCTTTCCTATGAACATGTTAGAAATATTAGTAGTTTTTCTAAATGATCATATGAAATACACTTTTCAAATTTCTATATGAAAATACTGATAAGTTCAAGAAAATTTCACCCTCTTCAGAGACTTTTTGGAACCTAAATTTGTCTTGGTGATTTCTTGTATGTACAGGATGCATTTTGATTCCACCCTCTTTTATTCCCCTCCCCCTCCCCCTCCCTCTCCCCCTTCCCCTCCCCTACAAGCCCCTTAACCATCTTGTCATCTTTTTGTTTTGTGATCCACTGAGTTCACAAAGGCCAGCTGAGGGATTATAGGCTCACCAGTGGGTACACATCTGAGGATAATGACACCCCTTCTCCTATAATCCATCAGTAACCAATAGTTTAGTGTGGAGGGGTGGGATCCCAAGATCCCTCCTCTAGCCGTGACTATCTTCCAATAGGGCCAGTCTTGTGCAGGCCCTGCATGAGTTATTTGTCCATGGCCATGCCAGGTCCACAGCCAGCAAATTGTAAAACTTTCCGTTTTCTTGTGGTGAGATTCATTTAGCCTCCTCTTCCATGGTATTCCCTAAACCTCAGAGAGGGTGAGAGAAACATCCCGTGCAGGCCTAAACACTCAACTGTTCCTTATTCTCAGCACCTTCAGGAGCCAGGAGTTTTTGCATTCACTGCAATTCAATGTAAAGAGGAGCTTCTCAGGTTGAAGCTGAGGATAGCAGTTGTCTATAGATATAAGCACAGAGGCCTAGAAGAGTTTGACAGAACATTTATTTAGCTACACAACAATATAAAATTTGCCCCGGGCCTGTATCCTCCCTAGGTGTGGGTTTTTGACTAGATTATTCTGTAGTCCAGTTAGAACTCTGAAATTGTTTGTTTGTTTGTTTGTTTGTTTGTTTTTCAGTTTTGTGAGACAGGGTTTCTCTGTGTGGCCCTGGCTGTCCTGGAACTCACTCTGTAGACCAGGCTGGCCTCAAATTCACAAAGATCTGCCTGCCTCTGCCTCCCGAGTGCTGGGATTAAAGGCATGTGTCACCACTGCCCAGCTGAATTTGTATTTTTTAATATTATACTTAATCCTTAAATTCTAAGAATATTGATAAAACATGATTTATTATCTTTAATATACAAATAAAATGTGCATATTGATGCAATTCAAGACACGGTAACTGATTTTTCTATATGAATACAATATTGGCACAATGTCGGAAGCCTCATATTAAAGTGACTCCTCTTCCTCCTTGGGATGGCTTTCCCATCCCCTTCATGTAGCATCGCCTTCTACCTGTGAAGTCCAAAATTTTAAACTGGTGTGACACTGTAGGAGTGAGTGTGGGAATCACACTCTGGTCCCCCAGGCCACTCCACGCCTGTGTCTAGGATTCCTTCTCTCCTTCCCTTGCCCTCTACTTGTTTCCTGGCTACCCATCTTTCTGGAGTTGCACCTCATGCTACTGAACTGGCTCAGCCATATTTCATATTTACTGATCTATAATAGCCATTGAGTATTAAGGATTTGGGTGATAAAAATCAAGCTCATATCATTTTACTAAAGTAACAAAAATATTTCAAATTTTAAAAACCCAAGTTTTCCTAAAAAATGTTATTTTACAATAGTGCTATTTATATGTTAATATGTTATAAGTACATATTCTTTATATTATAATAACCCTGAAATTATTGCCTTTGTCCATTTTCTGGCTAAAATCTCTGTTACTGCCACTTAACTAAATAAAGTTCCAGAATATTCTGTATAAAAATTTGGTTCAATTGCCATTTACTATAGAACTAGAATGTATTGTTTCTCCATGTAATTTTATGTATGCCACATTACAGATTAATCTCAAGTCGAAAGTTCAGATAGTGATTTTTGTTTGTATGTCTTTATTGTGCTATGGAGTTTTAATAACTAAAATAAAAAGAAAATTCATGATATAAAAGTTTGTGCAGCAAATGTTGATATTCTCCCCCATAGAGTCAGCACTTCTGCACAGTAATATGACTTAGTAGGCTCCTGTACTCATGTAGTAGGCTCCTTCATGTTATAGAATATTATTTTAAGGTGTATTACTTTTGTTTATGTTGCATTTGTTTAATTCTATGAAGCTGTGTTACTTTGCCTGTGTAAAACACCTGATGGTGTGTGTGTAATCAAGATCTGAACAGCCAATAAGCGAGGCAGGAGAAAGGATAGGTGGGGCTGGCAGGCAGAGAGAATAAATAGAAGGAGAAATCTGGGAAGAGAGAAGAAGTAGCCAGAGAAGGAGGAGGACACCAGGGGCCAGCCACCCAGATACACAGCAAGCCACAGATTAAGAGTAAGATTTATAGAAGTAAGAGAACGGGAAAAGCCCAGAAGCAAAAGGTAGACAGAATAAGTTAAGGAAATCTGGCAAGAAAGAAGTCAAGCTTAAATCAGGCATTTATAATTAAGAATAAGCCTCCATGTATTATTTATTTGGGAACTGGGTGGCAGACCCCCTAAAAGAGAGAAAAACAACCAACACCTTCACTCATGTAGTCAGCTCCTTCACTCATATAGTAGGCTCCTTCATTCATGAAGTAGGATCCTGCACTCATGTAGTAGGCTCCTTCATTCATGTAGTCGGCTCCTTCACTCATGTAGTAGGCTCCTTCACTCATGTAGTAGGCTCCTTCATTCATGTAGTCGGCTCCTTCACTCATGTAGTAGGCTCCTTCACTCATGTAGTAGGCTCCTTCACTCATGTAGTAGGCTCCTTCATTCATGAAGTAGGATCCTGCACTCATGTAGTAGGCTCCTTCATTCATGTAGTCGGCTCCTTCACTCATGTAGTAGGCTCCTTCACTCATGTAGTAGGCTCCTTCACTCATGTAGTAGGCTCCTTCATTCATGTAGTCGGCTCCTTCACTCATGTAGTAGGCTCCTTCACTCATGTAGTAAGCTCCTTCACTCATGTAGTGGGCTCCTTCATTCATGAAGTAGGATCCTGCACTCATGTAGTAGGGTCCTTCACTCATGTAGTAGGCTCCTTCATTCATGTAGTAGGCTCCTTCATTCATGAAGTAGGATCCTGCACTCATGTAGTAGGCTCCTTCATTCATGTAGTAGGCCCCTTCACTCTGTAGTAGGCTCCTTCATTTATGAAGTAGGATCCTGCACTCATGTATGTCTCTCCTTTGGTCTCAAGTTCTTTTGACCTCATGGATTTTTCTGCTGATTAGAATCCATGGTAGGACATTTTTCACAATTTAAGAAGTACAACAAAATGTCTAAAAGTATCAGTTAAATTCATTTTTCTCAAAATGATGAAATGAAGTATACATGTGTTTATGCTTGCAAAACTGCTTAGTTTTTATGTAAAATATTGTAAAGGACAATTTCTAGATGTTTCTCAATTATTCATTTTCAAACTCCAGGTCTATTCTCCAGCAGTTGCTCTTGAGTTTGACATTCCCACGACTCCTTGAGGCAGGTATGTCAATGCACTGATGTGGTCGTCATCACAGAAGTCCTTTTCCCTTTGTGATTGTGCGAGTCAGTCTAGTAAACCCACAAAGAGCAGTAGCATGTGTGTTCATGTGTGTGTCTGCATGTGTGTGAGCAAAAGAAAGAGATCATCAAACTGATACTTTTGATATACTAAAACTTTTAATTTCCAGTGATTTATAAACTTTTATAGTTCACATTGGCTTGCATTTTGTAGCTTAAATATTAATTTATTATTTAGAAACTTACCATGCACCTTTTAATGACTGTCAGGCAATTACTCAACAGTAAACCAACCTGCCAGACGTTTGTCATTATCATTAACTTGTCTCTGTGAGCAGCGGGTCTCAGAAATGTGGCTTCTCCAGTGGTGATCTTTGTTTTGCCTTCCACAGTTGAGATGGAAGAGGATGACTTCACCGCCTCCCTGTCAAAGCAGAGCTGCATCACAGAACAAACCCAGTACTTCTTTGAAAATGATAGTAAAACATTCAGTGGTGTGCTGGACTGTGGAAACTGTTCCAGGTACTCTGCTTCGTTGTGTGGAGTGGTTCTTGTTTACTAAGGGCAGCATTCAAGCCTGTTGTAGTCACAGAAAATCTCCACAGGAATTCTCAGTGGAGGCAGAGAGAAGCGGTTGTTTAAGCTGAACATGTCAGAAATACTTGGTGTTGTTATAGGTCTCATAAAGTCTTGATAACTTATAATTATTTTAGCAACAGTTACATGATGAAGATAACTGGTTCTGACTTTAGGCGGAATGGAGAAATTTGAATTCATTTTCACAAACAAGATCAATATTGAAAGCTTTGTAACAAAGTTTAGTTATGGTAATTTCAATCAAATATGACTTTTCATATATGATAAATAAGAAGGGTTGTAAAAAGTTGGGCTGTTCTTTGTCTACTTGTACCCCTCTCTGACATGAAGAGTTGAATATTAACTTTGATTTGAAATCAAAGACTCTAAGGAAAATGCCTCCTAAGGTCATGATTAATCTTAGCATTCATAAGACATCTTTGAAATGTTTCGAGATACAGAGAAAATGCATTTGGCTGTGATAGGATGGAAGAGAAAGGCAAGATGGGGGCTTTGGAAGGTCTGAAAGGAAAGTGCTAGTCCAGGCTGTGAGGTCCCTGAGCCACAGTTTACAAAGTACAGAGGGGCTTTTAGAGATAGAGGGCAAGTTATTCCAGAAGAACATTAACAGTGAAAGAAATGGGATGAGGTAAGGTAACCTGAGGAGATCATTGGGATAGTTGATGGGGGGGTTAAAAAGTCAGTTTACAACAATTATAATAACTATTTTTACTCCAAGGATTTAACCAATAGGCATGGTCAGTATTTTTATGACTTGGTTTTGTAAACTACTTCAAAGAGATAGTCTATGAAGCAGAATGAAAAGGGGGAAGTCAGACATGAACTCTGGATAAAGACCACTTTATTTAAAAATGAGTGCACAGAGCTTTCAGGTTTAGAAAATAAAACAGCAGCCTAGAGCGGCTGCTCTTGGTGTATGCACAAGCCTCGCACTGATTGTGATCCAGTCACAGCAATGTGTACATGAAGAACTGGAAGGATAGAGACTGCTCCAGCACATTGCTTGAAAGCATAGACTCACTTCAGTTATTCTATATTGTTTTCCCAGTTCAAAAGGAAAAGCTAATAAAATTCCACTTTTTTAAAAAAGAAGAAATTAGATCTTGATCATATATTGGTTACAAAGGAAAAGGAAACAGCTGACGCGGGCTGTGGAGCTTAAAGCTTGATTCCGTATCTGAGTTCTGTAATGTAACAGTTTCCAACTACAGGCCCCGATTTGCATTATAATTAAAGTTAAATGCAATAATGAAAATTTTATGTCACATTTCAAGAGCTTTGTTTACCATATTAGATAGAACAGAAAACATTATGCCTTCGCAGAAAACATGTTAGGAGCTGGATAGAACAGAAAACATTTGTACCTTCACAGAAAGCTTGTTGGAAGCATTGATCCACACTCTGTCCTGACCTCAGTTTGACAATATGCTGACTCGCTTTTGCCCCTGCTTTGTCTGTCTGTAAAATAAAGTATTGTTGGCTTGTTGCCAATGATAAATATCACCATTTCCTGAACACTTAAAATCAAACAGTTTTAGGATTTTGGACATTAACTAAATAGTACTTATTTTGTAATTAGGCCTAACAACTTTAAACATTTCAATCAAAGACATTTTTAATATGACCTTGAGTTTTTTATTATTTTTGAGAGAGGTGATGTGTTCATGTTAGTAAGTAAAACATGGTGATCTTCAAGACACATTCATCTTGTGTGTGTGTGTGTGTGTGTGTGTGTGTGTGTGTGTGTGTGTGTGTGTGTGTATGTGTGTGTGTGTTTCCAATGCATGTGTGTTATCCTGGGTGATGGTGAGGCTTCGTTTTTATCTTTCTTTTCGTTAAGAAAGGATATTGGGATGATTTCCATTCCCTTTTCACTTAGTGATCTTTTCTAAAATCTATTTTGCAGAATCTTTCATGTAGAAAAACTCATGAACACCAACTTAGTATTCATAATGGTGGAGAGCAAAGGAACATGTCCCTGTGACACGCGGCTGCTCATGCAAGCGGAGCAGACTTGTATCCTTTGGCACTAGAGATGTCTGGAAGAGTTCATCTTAAAGCAATGACTATTTAACTCTGTCACACTGTGTATGCTCATATAGAGAAAAATAAACTGCAGTACCAAAAATTTGAAGGTCAGAACTGATCACGTTACTCAGGAACTGTGAGAAAAGTTCATTGAACATATAGTTTCTCACAGTCCTGAATACTTGGATTTGTTCTGTTGGTTGAAAGCACTGGCATAGGTCAGTCTTGATTGATTTTGGAAATAAATATGTCTCATTGCGTCTTTTACCATGTGGGGAAGAAGTTACATCCACTCTGTTCCTTGACAAGCCTCTTTAGCTGATGGTCCAGATCCTTGCGACATGGTTAAGCAGCCCAGATACAGAAAAGGGCCTGATGTCTGCTTTGATAACAATGTCCTGGTAAGGGTTTTAATGCACTAAAGTGTTAATAAATTAATAGTTATTTTCCACAAGGAGTTAAAGGGATGTGTTTTCATTTTTAACTCATTATGTCTTTATTATAGTTTTCCTCATTAGCATGATGTACTTGCTAGTAAACAAAAATTTTCCATTTCTGTAGTTTTTATGGTTAGCATAAAGTCAGGAGTTGCTTCTTCTTCTGTCTTTCCCACTACAGTACTTGCAAACACTTAAGGTCAATAAACCTTTTAATAGCCTATACAATTATGTTAAAGACATACAATGAATAATAACCTGTAGAAAATGTTAATCACAGGAAATACGTTGCCTGCTTTAATTTATATTCCATTCCTGAAAGTGTGTTATTTTTATTATGATTAGTATGTGTTTAGTCATCATTCAATTAAAAACTTGTTATAAGTAATTATTATTGAATCATTTTGTTCTACTTTCTCCTATATCAGTTTTTCCTTCTTTTTAAGAAAATTTATTTTGTCTGCATGTATAATCTGTGCACCACATTTGTGCCTCATGCCCGAGGAAGCCAGAGGAGGGCATCAGAGCCTCTGGGACTGGGGTTACAGCTAATTGTTAGCCATGGCATGAGTACTGGGAATCCAACCCAGGTCCTCTGAAAGATCAGCCTTAACCTCTGCGCCAACTCTCCATCCATTCAAACTGTAATTTAGCCATATTTATATAAAAGATACTTATTAATTGTTCAGTAAAGCATTTAGAAAAAAAGTGACTGAGAATTGTGTAAAAAAATAGGTTAGGCTATTTCTTTCAGAGAACCTATGATGTATTGCAGCCTTACCATATTAGGACTGCCTGTGAGAGATCCCAAGACCACAGTGGAACATGGGATGCTATCAGACCAAAGTCATAGTAGACATGAGGATGGATTCCAGGTCTCCAAGAGCATTAGTTACGATGGCTAGTAGGACACACACTCACAAGAGCTGTTGTTTGCAAACCCACTATTGACTGAGTGCTGTAGAATTGGAGTGCACATTTTTCTCTTTTATTGGAAATAGATTTTTTTCCATACAATATATTCTGATTACTGTTTTCCCTCCCCTTACTACTGCTACTACTTCCAGTTCTTCCTCCCCTCCCCTCCCATCCAGATCCATGCCCTTTCTGTCTTTAATTAGAAAACAGGAATCTAAGAAATAAAAACAAAATCAAACAAACTGGAGCAGGACAAAATAACAAACAAGAAAATGAGCCAAAGAAACAGCACAAGAAATGCATGTAGACACTTTTGCACACATAGGAATCCCATGAAAGCACAAAACCAGTAGCCTAAATATGTACACAAAGGACCTGTAAGGTTATAAAAATATTACAAAATGAAACAAAAACCAAAAACCCTGACACAACATTAATGAGACACAGAACCTCCAAAGATTACCTTAAGTTCATTTTGTGTTGGCCATCTACAGCTGGGCAAGGGGCCTGCCTGCAAGAGTGGGTTATTTTCCCAGTGAGACTCCCTTGGAGAAAACTCAGTTTCACTTGCCAGTGGCAATCAGTTGGAGCTAGCTTCTGGGTTAGAGATGGGGGTGTGTCCACTTCTTCAGCTCTGTGGTCCCATCTGTGCAGTCCTATGCAGGTCCTGTGCATGGTGCCACAGCCTCTTTGAGTTATTACTTATTTTGTTCTCCTTTCTACTATATCCTTTTTAATTCTGTTACTCCCTCAACTGTATTCATTTCTTTTCCTTTTATCTTAGACAAAATAGAAGGTTAAACTCACAAGATATTTCAACCCATGCCTAATGTATATTGTTTAATGATGATTACAACCTTTCCTAAAATTTAACACTTTCTATTTCCTACTGCTTTGACATCCTGTGTTATACTCAGACAATACACATACATTCAGCTACATAAAATGTTTATTTCTATTTCCTGCCTGGCTCTATCCTGCCTTGCCATAGGGCAAAGAAGCTTTATTTATCAACCAATGAGAGCAACACATATTCACAGTATACAGAAGCACATCCCACATCACCCCTGCCATTATCTCTGCCATACCTCCTATCTCTCATGTTTTATAGAGGCCTGCTCATGTTAAAGCATTCCGCAAAGGGTTGCTTAGGAGCCCCAGAGTTGTGATAGCCATTACAGAAACTTTCCTTACCAACTACCTGTCATCAACTTTCAGTACTACAAACATAGACAAGAGTCACAAAGATGAATTTACAAGATGATGATGCTGCTGAAAGTTTTCCTGTGTCCTGCCTGGCCCGTGGTCAGGACAGATCTCTCTCACCCGCCAGTCCCCCAGCTGCTTGGACCCAAATAAACATACTTAGGCTAATATTTTTAAACTATGGATGTGAAAGAATTCTTGCTATCTAGTCCCTATATCTTTCTTTGTTTGTTTTTGAGACAGGGTTTCTCTGTGTAGTTTTGGTACCTGTCCTGGAACTCGCTCTGTAGACCAGGTTGGCCTTGAACTCACACAGATCCACCTGGCTTTGCCTCCCAAGTGCTAGGATTAAAGGTGTGCACCACCACTGCCTGGCTTTAGTTCTTATATCTTAAATTAACCCATTTCTATAAATCTATACTTTGCCATGTGGCTTGTGGCTTATCGGTACTTTTACATCTTGCTTCTCATGGCAGTGGCTGGCAGCGGCTCCTCTGCTCTGTCTTTTTCCTTCCTGTCTATCTGTTTGGATTTTTCACCTGCCTGTAAGTTGCCTTGCCATAGGCCAAATGGCTTTATTTATCAACCAATCAGAGCAACATATTTTCACAGCATATAGAAAGACATTCCTCCGCCATGATTTAAAAACCCTGTCGCAAATATTCCCATCAGAAGACACTGTATCTTTTGATCAAGGCACTGAAGATATCTGACCCTACAATCTAGATGTATCAGCTACTTTGGCCGGGTGCTAACCACATGTGGTGTTTCTTTAACAGTAGAGTACTTTCACAATGCTTACTTGCAATGTCACTGTGACACTGTGCTGGATGGAGGCTCACCTTAACTGCTAATTGCCAGAAAGTTGTGTGAAATCTCATCCTGTCTGTCTTCTTCTCTGTGTTTTCTTTCCCTTTCCTGCTACTTTGCCCATTGTTACTAGGATCAAGTTGTGTGTACAAGGAGTCATGCCAGTTCCTATCTTCACTTTACTTCCGTTTGTGTGTGGTGTGGTCAGTCACTTTCTCTAATTTGCTTGGCCTTTAGGTTTTGACTTAGAATTTTATAAAAGAACCCATATACTTAAGTCCATGATAAAAAAAAATCTCAAAACAAGATTATTAAAATTCCAATATTAATATTATTTTGTAGGTCATCTTTTTCAAATGGTGCATCTATTTCTCATGCTAAGCCCAGTGAGTCAGATTCCTACGTTAGGTTAAAAATTATTATTTTTTTATAAGATGTTCGTATAAGCATTAAACCAATATAGATAATAATTGAAAAGGTCTTCATGAAATTTTACTCAATACGTAATTATTAGAACTTGTCACTGTGATGTAAGTTTTAAAACTGCTAACATAGAATTAATGGACTATTTCAGTTGTAACAAGTAGTTTAAGAATTTCTGAAACAGTCATTCATATTTTTTTAGACAAATCTAACTTAAGTAGCAACTTTGGATTTATTCCCAAAATGTGTATGCTTATTGTTATATATATTTTATTTACGTATATATGTTATGTATATTTTAGTATACAGGTTCCTAAATTCTGAACTCATTTTAGGCACTATATTTGTATCTGTGCCAAAATGGCCATTAATCTTTAATGTTTGGGGAAGTTCCTGGATTAAGAAAGCAGAGCTGTTGAATAACTGCTGTGGGGTGCATCTGTAGTCCATGTTCAATGTATTGTTAATGCTGTTTCACTTCTGATGCTGTGGAGTCCTTATGAAGTTGCTACAGCAGCACTTGTTGTGCTCCTCCCTGATTGGTCCTTGGGTATCTATTGATTAGGAATCCCCTAGACTGTGTGGGTATTAGTAAGAGCAGTGTGGGCTCATGGAAGGGTGGGAAAGCAGAGGGAAGCACAGGAAATAGCCATATTGGTTCAGAGATGATAAAACAATGATTTTCATAGTAACATATTTCAAAGGATATTAATTCATAAACTATCTACATACATCCAGAAAAATCAATATACACAGTGTGATTTGGAATATACATTTATCATTCCATTAAAAGTATGTAATTAATCAATTTAAGTGTAATAGGATACTTCTATAGCTGTCCTTATTTGTAGTAATAATAAAGATGAGCAAAATGGAATGTAAGGGTACCAACTTATTATATGATATGATATGATATATATGAAATGGTATAAAAATTCATTAATTTTTAAGTTTTATTATATAATTTATTTTCTCGATCATATAAATTTTATATATGGATTACAGGTTATCAATTAGACATAAAAATAACTACTACTGGATTTTGTAAGCTACCACTCCTTAATGAAGATATTCCATAAAATGAATATTAATGAAAACAACATGTAAATGTCCCAAAAAGGACCTAAAATTTTATTCATAAAATGGACAAGAACATCAAGAGAATCACGAAGCACATTTACTGAAATATGAGCATTTCTGAATTTTACACGTTAGTGCAGAGACAATCCTGCAAGGCAAGGCCTCTGTTTGTTCATGCTTCGTCACTGGCTACTGCAATGGTGGCTTTATTTATTATCCAACTTTCCTACAACAAATGGAAGTTACTTTTCCATCTAAACATCATTTACAGGAAAGGTTTTAAAGACTGATCTCTGTGCAAATTCAATGTCTACCACAAAAATATCTGAGCTCAGGTTGTCCTCACTAGATATTTGCTTTCCAAGACAGCACTTTACCACAGTTATGCATCGAAAAGGTTGAACCAGCATCAAATAAACACATGCCATCTGGGCACATCTAGTGTGGCCCTCCTGACCATCTGATGTGAGAGCCCTGGCATCCTGTAGTTCCCTGAGGGGTTACTGATTATTGATATACAATTACAAAGCTCCACACCATGAAGACTTTCTAAAACATAAGCATCCAAAGTATACCTTTCAACAGGGTTCTTATGCAGACGTACAAGGTAAAGAGCAAGAGAAGGACAGGCAAAAATGCTGAAGGTCATCAAAATTAAAGCATGCCCACTGGGAGAATTGTATTAGTAAGCAAACCCAGATTACAAAAGTATATCACTGAGTACATAAAATGAATCTGTAAAAATAAATTCATGTGTGTATGATTCTTACACTTTCTACATGTAAAAACTTGACCAAATGTATTACCTATCTCATGACTTTCATGATGTTATGTGACTTTTCCTGTTGTGTCTATTTCCATTCACTTTAGGTAGAGAAGACAGCAGCAGATAAGAATAATGATTCCTCCCAAGTTTATTGGCAGGAGTGTAGACAACATGTGGCCAGCTATACCTCCCCAAATCTCTTCTTAGCAGTTGTTAGCTGCTCAGGAAAGGATGAACCCTATGTGCCTCCTCATCCTCCCTCCTCCATCTACAGGGAAAAGTCACTGGGCCCAATGTATAAGGGTCTTGAGGGATGATTCTCTGAGTCAGGATAGCACTGGTCCTGACTAACATGGCTGACACAATCACTCAACACATAGGTTAATGAAGTTAAGGTTAAAGAAAATAAGTCTTTTAAAAATAAAGGGAGACAATGTATGTGTTATGGGTATTATTTCCATTAAAAGGGTAATTTTGAAGTTTCTACTTACTTACAGATTTACCTAAATTTAAAAGTGAGCCATTATTGTTGGATGTATTCAGCTGTTTTATTTCATTAGAAGGAAATTACATAGTTATAATTCAGAAAACAAAACATAATATGCTACCTCCAAACACAAAGAATAAATGTCATTTATTTACTCAGCTTCAAGTAGCTCTTTAATCTCTGGCAGGGAAGTAAATCAGAAGTTCCCAATCTTTGAGAGTTTGGACTCTGTAAATTGCTCTACAAAGAACACTCATATTCCTTTATGTAACCTATTTAGACTCACGGCAGATGAGCCTTGGATCAATGAATTTTTAAGAAAATATTTATGAGAATGAGTGGACATGAGTTTTGTTCTGTTTTTTGGTTGTTTTTTTTTTTTTTTATGAAATTCACTATGAGGAAGTTTAAACTGGAGAATGTGGCAGAGAATGGAACCTGGGAAGAAAAGGTAAAAAATAACTGGGTTCTTAGGGATCTAACTGAGCCTCTACTGGGTCTATGAAGAACGCCAGGAGGTGTGTTCATTGAATGCGCTGTGGCACTGTATGGCTCAGTGGGTAAGCCTGGCTTCTTTTTCCAGCCTGGTTCTTTATTTGGATTCTGTGTTTTCAGGATGCTCTTGATTTGCCTCAGGTTCAAATACATTATATCTCACTTTATTATAATGCCTAAAGTCAGGGTGTTACCTGTAGCCTATAAGTTCACCTTAGACATCAGAAATATGGGAAATGGATTTTTATTTCTTGAGTTTATTGATTTCTGCTTATGGAGCACAGATACAAAAATCATGATTGTTGGGAATTATTAAAATATTAAATTATTTATTTCTATTTCTTATATATATATATAAATATAAAGGATTTTTTGCCATTTCAGTGAGGCTTTTAGTTAGTAATTTCTATATCCAAGCAAGAATTCATTATTATTAACTTTCATTCATCATTATCAGAACTTCAAGCATTTGTCAAATGGTACCAGGGAGACCACTTTAACACAGTTTCTATACAGTGAAATCTAGATCAATATTACTTACTTCAGTCCTAGGTAAAGCAATTTTATTACCAGGTAAGTTCAAAAGTGGACTAAATGCAAATTAACCTAAAAGTCTCTCTGTTACATGTTTATTCAAGATGGTTATATTATTTGTTTGTTTGGATTCCCAACAGGAGGATTACACCGACTGTGGTGGTGTTTCTGGATTAAATCCTTCGTTGTCGTCTATCATTGGACTCCAATTCATACTCCTTTGGCTGCTATCTGGAAGAAGACACTACCTATTGTGACCTTCTAAACCCCAGATCTGCAACTAAAACCCAGACCCTGCCAACACATGAGCCCTCAGTTACATTAAAATAGAGTCAGTTGAAGAAACTACACAGAACATTAGCTGGGCCTCTACAACAGCATAAATCTGAGGCTCAGGTTCTTGATCACCCACTGGCTGCATGTCAAGGTGTCAGAACCTGAAACTTGTGTGAATGCTGCATCATCTGTGTCTAGCATCAAAGCAAAACTCTGTTTGTGCTCTGTGGGATGTTTGGGAGTTCACTGTTGCGCCATTGGTCAAAGACTCCCCCATGCAGGCGTTATGAAAAGAAGCAGCGTCTTGACTTTGACCTAGGATTCAACCTGCTGCAGTTTTACCAAGAAGAAAAAAAAAGACCCTAGTGGGGGGCAATGATATTTTTTGCCTTCACTTATTTTCTGTTAAAAAGTAATTCCTGCTGTGAGTCATTATTAAATGGAGAGAGAAGGAGGGAGAAAATACATTGGTCTAAACTGTTGAAATACAAACTAATGGCTAATTTTTCTACCAAAAATTTGCCATGAATAAAATGCCTTATAAAAGAATGATTTCTCTGCCAAAAACAAAACACAACTGTGACCAGTTGAGTTTGGGTAAGGTATGAAGCTAATAATGAAGGGTGACTAAGTTACAGGTGCTTGCGGGTGCAATTGGAGTTCATGACACATTTCCTCATAAATGAAAGCCCTTTAATGCGTGGCGTAATAGCCCTTTTGTTCAAAGTACAGTCATGTAGTGCTAGCCAGATATTTAACTCGCTCTAAGAGAAGCTTGTTGGGGGGGAGGGGAAACATTTTCCTGTGGTTAATGAACTTGGGTTGCCAAGGGTATTTTGCATGATGCTGCTGCTATTTTAACTTTCTGGTTTGTTTTTCTTCTTACTGTAGAGTATAGTCCACTGAAGAGTTAAATTGGGTGACATTATTGTCATGTAAGAATCTGAACCTTGAAGTGTAAATGCACTCCAGTCATCTTTTAACACGTTGTTAAACTACTCTGAATATACTGTGCGATGTAAATGCTGAATGACTGGGTTAGGCAAATGATGAAATGAGAATTCATGGATTTTATACAGATTCATGCTTTTGCCTGAAAACCTATGTACAGATATTTTAAGTACATAAATCAGATTTAACACATTTATTTTTTGAAAAGTACATATATGTTCTCAAAAAAGATTCATCTTAGGTTTCCTCTTTGTTCGTCTCAATAGTAGCATGTACAATCCAGAAATTGCTGCTCTTGCTGCTTCTGTCCTCCATTTGGTATGATCACATGACCAAAATTCCCATGCAACTTCATGAGGGGTTTTACATTAATCTGAACAAATAGGAAACCTTGAATCTATGTGTATGCACATGAACACTTGATTGTGAATAATAAAATTTGTTTTTATACAGCTTCCTTGGTGGAAAACATTAGTGTAGTAGGTCAGAATTTCATTATAGATTAATATGGTAGCTAAACTTTATTTATGCTTAGAAAAATTATTTTCAGGAATAAACAGTATTTGAAGAAAGAGTAAAAACAATGAATGTGTCTAGAAAGAGTAATTTTACTGTAAGCTGAAAGTATGCATATATTCTTTATGATAAATAAAGGTTTTTTTTCTTTTTAGTTAAACATGCCAAGTATTGGTGTGTGCATATGCTGGAAATTTTCATATATATCATTTTACAATCAGAATTATTTACATTCTCCAGCATAATTTAATATGCTCCACATATCAAAGTTGTAGCCAACTCTTTAATATAGTTTATTGTTTTGTTTATAGCTTTGCATACATTGTAATTCCTTCCTACCACCATGCTATCACCACCTGAGTACCATTTGTGTACATTTTATAAGCTAAGATTTTGTTTAATTCAAAAGGGGGAGAGGCAGTTGGAATCACTCTGCCAACTATTGTCCTAAGAAATGACATCAGTCACCACTTCTAATACATGGTCATTTTTAGTCTATTCATAACTGTTGTTGACCTTAGAAAACAGAAAGGTAATGTAAAAGGAGGGAAAATACGTCCAAGTCATGCTGTTTGTTAATTATTTCAAACTTATTATTACCTTTTGCTAGACTATTTTAAATCCTGGACATGTTGGGGAAGGGAACTGATACTTTCTACATATAAAGTGATGCACACTAAAACCATTAAATTGCTTCTGGCAAACAACAACCTACCTTAAATTATGTTTAAAGTGTATTGACTATACTTTCATGGCTAATGTCACTCACAGAGTGTTTTACCATCAATGACATTATTGTATTAGTCACTGCTGAACTTGGCACCTCTTGGCAAGGCCTTGTTTGATTCCAGTTCTATGTCATCACAACCACATATATGGTAACAAATTGGGCAAAAATTTGCCTTCTCACTAAAACTTCTTTTCATGACATATACTAATGTTCATGCTTTTGCGTACAGAATAAAAAATAAATGACAGTAATACCCATCCGCCAAAATTACAATATCACATTGAACATTTTTTTCTGCAAATTCTATTGGCAAGAATAAGTATAGTGTGTTATTTACAGAAACAAAACTAAATAAGAGATCACTTTAAAAATGTTTAACTGTTTTTATTAGTTAATTGTTGCTATACTCACATAGCTAGCTCAGTGTACTTTGTCATGTAAACAAAGTCAAAACAAGTCCTGCATTGGTGTTGAGTAGCAGGAAAGAATTTCTGCATAAATGGATTCATCTTTTCTTCATTTGAACAACCAGCATTACTGCCAAACGCCAATCGTGGTCCATATTTGTAACAGGTTTTTAACATGACATAGTTAGCAAGTTTGATTGAAGAGATTTTTAGGTCCTGGGCCTACAAGATTTTAGTATGATCTTTTTTCATGTTTCTAATGCTTGAAGCATTATTGCTTACCTTGGAAAACACAGTGTTGCTGCCATTTGTAAGTTTTCTTATATATAATATTCCTTTTATTAACTGTAAAACTGGCCTTATGGGGTTCAAATAGGCAGTATCCCTTTTAAGTGACCTTTGCAACCCAAGTGTTACTTGCTTATTTGATGCTCTCTTGTACTTTACATCTCATTTAAATGCCTGTCTTCAAGTCACCAAAGCTTAAATTCTACGTCTTAATTTAAAACTCGTAAGTCTAAAGGCATAGAGTCTAACTTAGCAAGACACAATGGATTTTGTGATTTTTTTCCACTTGCCCCAATCTCCAAATATTTTATCCATTAGCTGGAACTTGCATTGTTTTCCATAGCAGAATGTTAATATTGTTAATATTCAGTGTACATTTCTGTAAAGAACAAATCACTAAAACAGGACTATCAAGTGATGAACACTTTCAGAATTTTGCAGAATTAGATAGCTCTTACCAATGGTTTCATCTACCTTGTCTCTAGTTCACATAAAAGAACCATGGAAATTCCACTGAGACTTGGGATACTGTCTTGTGTAGATGCCAACTGACTTTCCAATGTGACCTAGCAAAGCTGTCCTTCCCTTGTGCTGTGTGACTGTGGGATCATGCTTTAGGGATTCCCTTCATGAAACACTCATTGTGCATCATGCAAAAGGCCACGAGGCTTTTGTGAACAACAGATCTTTCCTTCCCTTATTATGTTCTCTTGACACTTTTGTGGAAATTAACTAGCAGGATGAAAACATTTTGTAAAAATTTGTATAATACTGTTATAAAAATATTTATAATCCCAGAAAATGTTGTGTTAAATCTTGTGCAAAAACAGTATATTCAGAATAAAAGTTTATCATTGAAAGTCGCAACACAGTTTGAGTTTTTGCCTTTTTTAAAGATGTAGTTGAAAGAGACAGTAGTCCATCTTAAATACATTTCTAAAAAACAGGCCTCTGTCTGGATGGAGAGGATTCTAGATTGCAGAAATAAAATTTGGTTTTAGACATGTGCTTTTACAGTTACAGATCTCAACTCACACATGAATACATAAGGATGATTGTTTATGTAACTCTGACCTTTCTTACCTTTGCATTCTCCACCAAGCCTTTGAGGAGTTTAATACACTAAATAAATAAGACAATTTCCTAGGGGGGAAATAGTGGTTCTGGATTTCTTTTAAGGCCTTGGAAGAAACAACATATCTGACATGTGCATACTTTTGATATAACGTCAATATAGATATTTCTCCAAAGTATTGGCAGTAAATGGCAGATATGGGATTAAAATACCATGTAAGGTATTTTAAATAGACAGTTACCTTCTTGCCTCACTTCTGCTCACCTCATGAAGGTTATGAAATATCTTTCCTTTGTTTTTTTTTAATATTCCTAATGTTAATCAGTGAAACAGTGTCTTCTGGACACGACAGAACAGTTGCACTCATGGGCTCAAAGCTTCTGTGCTTGCCGACACAGAACTTGCACAAGATCAAGGCAGTCAACAATCTACCAGGGAGGGGGAGATGCTGGCAAGCCTCCCCCTAACTGAGGATCTACTGGGATTTGATGGCTTCTGGGTAAGGGAAAGTCAGTTTTGTTTAAGGGTATTGCCTCTTGTAGATCAAATGCCCTCTGGTGGATGGCTCCATACTCTTGAGTATATGGAAAAACAAATAGGATTGGATAGGTTTTAAAAAAAAGAAAGAAAGAAAAAAAGACAGGAAATTCAGAGGGGTTGAGGAATTAGGGGAAAGAGGAATAATGAGGACAAATATGCTGAAAATACAGAATATGACATTTCTCAGTTAATAAAAACTTGGTATTAAAAAAGTCATAATAGCATTTGACTCACTTGAAACATTGTTTAGTATCTTTAAAAATTCATCAAAGAACAAGTTCACAACTTTATGTGGTAGGGGAAACGACTTAAAGGAACTTTGTATTATGCTATATAGTGAAGTTTCCAGGATGAAAAACTCAAGCCTCCCTACCCCAGAAAGAAAACCAAAACTAGTGGATTCTGAGACCCAAACCACAACAGTTAAATGATCTTTCATCATGTGGAGCATCTACGAGGAAGCCTTCTTTCTGATATTCTTAACTCCTCCTTTATTTTTTTAACTAAAATGGGTGCTTTTAATGATTATACTTTTCACATTGTCTCAATAACTCATTGACGTAAAAATGTAAAGGATGGATTAAGTTGGACCCACATTCCCTTCCCAATTTCTTATAATTTAAGAAACTTCCCTTTACCAGATAATCTTCCCATTTAGTTTAAGAAAAAAAAGACACTCTTTTGTGAAGCTATAGGATGATTAATGTTAACTTTTCAGTCAGCAAAATTAAGTGTTAGCAAATTTATGTGAGTTATTATCTCACTCCTCTCACTTTCTTATATCTATGGTTAAGTTGATACATAAGATTCTCAAGCCATTAACTACTCATTGTTGGAGCTATCTAGTCAAATGGTAAGCGAAACCCATGGCTTACATTGCAATCACCACTCACCAGTTACATCCTATTGACAAGTTTTATAAAGTCTCTAAGCCTCAACTTTCTCAGCCCTCAAAATATATATGATTGTGGTTAAAAAAAAATCTCTTTCCATTAGGGGCACAGGGTGGTTGGCACAACTAAAAATGTGTGGGTGGGAGGGATACCCCTGAAAATACAGTTAAGTATTAGGGTCTGGTGAGGTAGGTAAGGTCGCCCCCCTACCCTGACAATAGGGAGGTGAGAAGGAGAGGTGGGACCCCAAAACTCCCTCAGGACTGAGTAAGTGGCTCTGGTAATTGAGTGTTTATAATATAATAGTATGGTGCCCAGCACTAGGTAAGCAAACAATGCTATCCACTAAGTTTATGGTGTTTATCATTATAGTCATCTTCCTGATATAACCATTTTGTGCTGTAGTTCTAAAGATCCTATCCACTGACACCATTGATTTTCATTTAAAACATTCATGTAATGTTAGAGACACAAAAGTAACAGCTACATTTATGGAATGGTTACTGGGAATATTGAAAAGTTAATATGAATTTACAATAGAGTGAGGTAAATGTAGTGACATAAGAAATAATAGGACCTAACAGAAGGGTAATCCAACCAGACTAAACTTCCCAGAGAGGATTTTCATGGTTTTAACTTGAGAGAAACATTGTCACATACAGAAGAGTCTCTGAAAGCCAGAAATCATGCAAAGCACCAGAGTAGCTGAACATGAGTCAGTGTAACTGAAGGAAAGAAGTCTAAGATGAAAGAGGACTTTGCTCTGGATTACAAATGTTGCTTGGGAATTTGGAAACTGTTAGAATTCTTACCACTCTCCCAGCTACGTGACCATGCAAAATGTGTCCTTGAGATCAAGAACTGAAAAGTGTGAGGTCTCTGAAAATAGTTGAAAGAAGAGTATAAGGGTTAGACACTACTGGGTGGAGGGGAACTACTGCAGAATTAATGGGCCAGAGGTCTTGAATCAGGTGGTAGGTTCCATTAGATTTTTTAACTGCAAGTATGAGGGTGTTAAAAGGCGAAGAGGTTGGGCACAGCAGCTTTTTTCTGAGAAGGTCAGAAATGATAGGCTTAAGTCCCCTAAGGCTCTGGAGTGAGAGAGGGTACTGAGCTTGGGTAATGTACCTGGTAGGGTCCAGCAACTGGATAATAAAAGGGGGATGGTGCCTAGCAATAGAAGGGTTCTGGGTATCCCAGATTTTGAGGTCCAACTGAGAGGCTGGCAAGGGAAATGAAATGTTAGAGCTAGTGGGCTGGGTGACTAGGAGGAGGAGAGGAGCTGCTGATGAGTCTGGATTAAGGCAATTGGGGCGAGCAAATGAAATAAGAGCTCCTACCTCAGCTAGAAAATCTCTTCCCATTAGGGGCACAGGGCAGGTTGGCACAACTAAAAATGTGTGGGTGAGAGGGATACCCCTGAAAATACAGTTAAGTGGTGGGGTCTGGTGAGGTGGGTAAGACTGTCCCCCTACCCTGACAATAGGGAGATGAGAAGGAGAGGTGGAACCCCAAAACTCCCTCAGGACTGAGTAAGTGGCTCTGGTGTCCAAAAAAAAAAAAAAAGAAAAAGAAAAAAGAAATGGATTGCCCTGATACTGTAATGGCTACCCTCAGTTCCCTGTGAGAGATGACTGTGGTTGTGCCGGGAACAGATCACCTTCAATCATCCATTGTCAAGCCTAGGAGATCGGCTGGAGGGTGGTCTTTGTTTGATGTCCCCATGCCATGAGGTGCACAGAGGCAGTCAGCTGACCAGTGTCCCTCTTGGTGACATTTTGGACAAGGCCAAGATGGTGGTCAGCATGGGGCAGGGCAGGCACAAGCCCAGTGGCCTTTTCTACCACACTTAAAACAGGGACCTGGAGGCCTTTGGGCAGCTGATTGGATAGTGTGTGCCAGCATTTGTCAGTTCTGTTTAAGGGCTTTCTCATCTCTCCCACAGTATACCTTAAATGCCACTGCTAAGACTTCTGCCCCTGTGGGAGGGGCCCTCTCTCCAGACACTTAAGTTTAGCACTAATGTCAGGGAAGCTCTGCTGGACAGTCGGTCATAAGGAGCTGTCCGCTCTCTGGGCTCTCAGGATCCAGAATTAGTATATTGTAAGAGAGCCTTTGTATGCCATTCTAAAAAATGAGATGGATTTTCTTCCTTATCTTGAATAACGTATTTTAGCTTTTCATAGTTTACTGGTTTGAGGGCAGCCTTATGAAGACCTTCCAGGAGGCAAGTTGTAAACCTTTCCCTAGCTAGAGAGCCACCTGGGGTATTGTAATCCCAACATGGGTCCTGATTGGGAACCACCTCGGCTGTGGTTGGATGGGCAGCATTAGTTTGATGAACTTCATCTGCATGTATTCTAGCCTGCTCCCAAACCTGTCTGCACTCCTCAGGCAGTAAGTTATAAGCAAGTATCATATAAATATAAAATGAAAGGTGAGGATTGGGTAATATATTGGAATTGTTTAATAAAAGAAGCAGAATTAGAGGTATAAGAGCCCAGTTTTTTTTCTATCTGAGAAAGTTCCATGAGGGAGAAAGGGACGTGAACCTTGGTCACCTCTCGCAAAGGGAGAATGGTTGCCGGGTTGGCAAGGCTGGAGAGAGGGATATGCCCTTGGAACCCTAGGGCACTTTCTGGGACCCTCCTTTGCACCTGTCAAAAAAACTAGTCCTCACCACTCAGGGATGGGCACCTTGCATTTGTGCTTTGGCAGCTGCTGAGCTCCTTACTCAGGAATCAAGAAGCTAACCTTTGGGTCACCTCTTACTGTCTTCTCTCACCATGACCTGTCCTATCTCTTAACTTATAAAGGCTTACAAACTTTACCTCCTTCCTAAGTTCTGTCTCTTCAAGTGGCACTAGTGGAAGATGCCACACTTACTTTCCAGACTTGCTCACACCTTAATATTTTAAGTCTCCTTCCTCAACCTAACACTGAATACTCTCCATCTCATTCCTGCTCTGAAGCCTTAGAGGAACTGTTACCTCATCCTTCACACATACAGGAGGACACATTGCCTCAGGCCACTTATACCTGGTACACAGAGGGCAGCTCCCTTTTACATGAGGGGACCTGTAAAGCGAGCTATGCCATAGTGTCAGACCCTGGGGTGGTAGAAGCACAGGCATTACCTGTCCACACTACCAACCAAACAGGCTGAGCTGATAACCCTCACCCATTTCTTCCAATTGGCACAGGGCAATCCCTAAATGGTTATACAGACTCCAAATATGCTTTCCATATCCTCCTGTCCCATGCTGCTATCTGGAATGAACGTGGCCACCTTACAGCAAAAAGAGGATCCACATCTAACTCAGGCCAAATAATGACCATGCTTAAGGCCTCCCATCTCC